TGGTCTGTCCTTGTGAAACATTGTATCCTATTGGTACCATCTAGGGTGTACCATCCAGGCACGTGATGAGTATGCCCTGCGATGCGTGCTCTATGGGAGGTATGCCCATGGTGAAATGGCATTCAGGAAGGTTCTATAGAGCAGGGACACTGGAGAGAATTCTCAAAGTGGGGAGTAGGAGTGGTTACAGCAGCAACGGTTTCAGCCTTGCGCCGGAGGGCTGGGGGTTCAAGTTCTGGCTGTGCCACATACTAGCTGCGTGAATGAATTCCTAGGCGCCAAGTGCCTAGAACTGAGCCTGGCACACAGTAGATGCTTTGTATTTGCTGTTATTAGTCTTTCGTCCTTCCTATCCTGACCAGCTACTGTGTCCGTGGTCTTGGGCTCGCCTCCCTGTGGAGCCTGTGGTTATGGTGTTGGGGGCCTCCCAGCACCTGGCCCGATGGTGGTCAAATGGTAACTGCCCACTGAAGTATATTTGCTCTGGGAAGAATTTCTGGCCATCATCCCATTCAGTGATAAACGTGGACCCTGGTCTTTTCTCTGTCTTGGGGGGCGAGAGGTGCTGAGCTGTGGCTGCAGACCCTCCCCCAGGTCTCTCTCCCTGCCACCAACCACCAATGCCACCCTGCACCCTGTCCCCCTGCCAGCTTCCTCCAGGGCAGATCCTAACAGCCCTGGATGGAAGAGTCGGGGTTGTGTGGGGGGGGTTGGGCAACAGCCCTGTGAGCCCAGATGGAGAGGGGGCTCCTTACATTCGGAGGAACACTGACAAGCCAGGTGGGTCAGCAGGGAGCAGCCAGAGTGGACAGGGCCCCATAATCAGAGGAACTGGGGCCGGAGTGCCATACCCAGGGGAAGTGGGAGAGTCTGGGGAGGTGAGGGGAGCCCAGAGGGCAGGGGAATGCAGCTGGTGCAGGCTCCGAACAGGGAATGTTCCCAACATCATGATGGCTCCTAAGCAACACATCCCCTGCCTGACCCTTCAGTGTGCCCACAGCTCCCAGCTGAGAGTGACTGGAGCACACACTACAATGTGCCAGGGCTGAGGGTCCCATGACCATGCTCTCCCTGAGTCATCTTAGTCTTCTGCATCCTCCACGCCTCCTACAGAACCACGTGGACTGTTGGCTCCTGTTTGCTGCTTAAAGGAAGAACTGAACTCCTGTGGTGGGGGAGAGACAGAAGGGGTAGAGGGATCGGATAGCACTGGGTTCAAATCTCTGTTCCTCACCTATTAGCTGTGTGGCTTTGGGCAAGTCACTTAGCTCCTCTGAGCCTCAGTTTCTTTGTCTGTGAAATGGGAAGCCCAGGGCCTACCTCCCTGGTTCAATGAGCTGCTGTGTGCAAAGTAGGTGCACAGTGGCTAACACCTTCATAGAGGCTCAGTGAACTGGTAAGAACTTTCTCTGTTTCCACACATTTCCGTCTGTGCATGCTGCGACTCTCTCCTTCAGGACCGCATCTCTGACACCTCTTGGATCCCATTCAGCTCTCTAACTGCTCAAGACTCAGCCTGGCCCACAAGGAACTATGCACAGGAACAGAGAACTGCCCATCTTCATCCTAATGGAACCTGGAGGCCACCTCTTCTGTCCCCTCTGGGGTCCCTGCCTCCTTCCCCATCCTTCATTTTGATAGACTCAAAAGGACACCCTAGAGCACAACTCAAGCTGGAAGTTCCTGGAATTCATGAAAAAAGCCCTACACTGGTGGCAGAGGTGTTCCCAAGGCCCGGGTGCCTCACACCCGCAGGCCAGCCTGCTCCTTGGAGAAGGGTCCTGGTACCTCCTATTTTCCCAGCCAGGAGGCCTGCGGGTTCCCACATTATCACATGAATGGGGCACAAGCCCCTGGTCCACTCCAGCAAACAATTTGGCTAGCAAATTGACATAATTATGAGAGACAGAGAGGGAAGAAAGCGGCCCCCACCCCCGAGGCCCCCCAGCGGGTGGCTCCCGCCGAGCTCCTCCCTGGCTTTGTGGGCCCTGCGCTCAGGGCTGATTAGAAACCGTGTGGCCTTTTCAAGAGCCCTAAGTGATTGGCCCCCTTAATCTGATTACAATTTGCAGAGCCCCTCCAGCCGCCTCTGAAGGGCCTTTCTCAAGCACCCCGCTCGATGCTGCACACACACACACACACACACACACTTAGCACCCACTTGGGCCTGCTGGTGGGGGCTCTGCTTCTCTTTGTCCATGCCTCACTTCCTCAGTCAGGGACCTTCAGTGGCCCCAATGGCTGCCCTCAGGCCCCAGTCCCCTCAAGGTACGCACTAAACTTCAGACACACGCTGCCCCTAACACACTGGGTCACCTATCTTTAAGGTCCCACACAGATACCCTGCCCGGGCGAGGGGCACATGTGGACACCCCATCACCCATCCTTCGTCAGAGAGGCCACTCCCAGCATCCAGTTCCAGGCTGCGTGACCCCATCAAGGGTGACCCTCTCTCCACAGCAGCTATATTTCTGGGGCTCCTCAGGCTGCAGGTCCCAGGGGATTAGGCTCAGCGGGCAGCCTGGACACAACTCAGGCCCAGGCTGCTCAGACTACCCCCCCTGGGAACTCAGCCCTCCACAGCCACTTTGTAGCTCTTAATCCCCGAGGCTCAGCCACAATGGCTCCTTTTCCCATACTTGTTCTTGCAGGTCCCAGCCTGGCCTCCCACCCCAAATGGAGTCCCCCCACCCCCAGGGCAGCAGTTTAGGATGAGGGTGGGGTGGGGGGTAAATCTGGGGCCAAGGCAGAAGGGGACAGAAGATGGGGCTCTGGCCTTGTTAGCTAACCACGCGTCCCCCAGGAGGAGCAAGTTGGGCCTGAGCCGGTAGGGAACTTGCCTAGGGCCCTCGCAGGTGACCCCCCCAGCCTGCTACACCCCCATACTTCAGGGCCCTCAGCCTGGAGGCCCTGAGAAGTGTTTTCTCCACTTAGGAACCCCAGTGTCTTCTCAGACTGTCCCGAAGCCCTTCATGTGGCTGGGCCAGAGAGCAGAGAACCTGGAGCCCAGGTTGAGACGTTAGAATCAGAGGGACCCGGGCCCCAGTCTCACCCTAGCACCATCTTTAATAACCCTGTGACCTCGGAAGGGCTACTTATCGCCTCCGGGCCTCAGTCTCCCCACCTGTGAGATGGGTCTGATACAAGCTTTCTGTCAGGGTGGCTGAGAGTTTCAAGAGCAGAGGGGCTTCAGGCACTCAGCACGGCACCCGACACACAACTGGCATCAATGCATCATGGGTGAGTCAAGGCCAGGAGGAAACCCGGGGTGCAAACATAGATGGGGGAACAGTCTCTGTGCACCCCTGCAGCCCTGCTGGAAACGGGAGGCTCTGCAGTGCCGGGGCGGCGGGGGCGGGGGGGCTGCTGTTCAGGACAAGCCTAGCAGGCGCCAACAATTTTTAGATCTCATCCCTGATCACGAGACGAGCCGCAGAGCGAGTCTGGGCAACAGGGGTCTAGACCTAGGTCTCTCTCTGCATAGGGCCCCGGGCACGGGCCCCCAGGGCAGCCTCGACAGTGCCCTGAGGCGCCCGACCGACCTCTGCCCTCGGTGCCCTCCCCGCACAGCCCCCAGGACCCAGGTCGGGTAATGGGGTTGGGGGGGGAGGAAGGGTCCCGACCCCGCCCCTCAGAGCCCCGTGCTGCCGCGGGGTCTGGCCCCGCTAGCGGACGGCGGGCTGGCTCCTCCGGCGGGCCCTGGGAGGATCTCCCCCCGCGCGCCCGCGCCCCCGCCCCCGCGCACAGGCCCCTCCCCGGCCCTCGTGGGCGTGCCGCTGGGCGGGGCCGCCGGGCCGGGGGCGGGCGGCTGGGGCTGGGCTCCGCGGAAATCAAAGCCGCCGCTCCCCTCCTCGCCACGCCGCACCCCTGCCGCGCCGCCGCGCACCTCCTCCTTTGTCACAATGTTTTTCAATCCGGTGAAGCAAACTGTCCAATTAGAGCCGGGGCCTCCAGCTTCCATCTTTGCCGACGTTTAATTAACATGCTCCTCTTGGCAGCTGCTGACAAGTTCCAGAAACAGGTTGTAAAGGGTTTTTGTCTTTACCCAGCATGGAAAATGAGGGGTGTTACATCGCGGGGAACATGAATAGGTTGCATTTCAGCTCCCTCCTCCCCTCCTTCTCCTCCCCCCCCTTCCTCTGGCACGGAGAATGAAGGCCTGAGTGTGTATGTATGTGTGAATTGTGAGGGGGGCGGGGAGGGCGGATTTGGAGGCAGGAGAGACCTTCTCCTCCCTCTCCCCTCACCCCTTCTTCCCTGGAGTCTTTGCTCCACAAAGGATCTGGATTTTGCTTCTTCTTCGCCAGCTGGCACACTTTCGCCTCGCGTCTCTTTTAGCCATACCAAACCTTGCCATGTTGATTCCTATCTCTGGGTGTCTGCCTGTGCCGTCCCTGTGCCATCCTTCTGGTAAACTCCTATGCAGCCTCCAAAACCCTGCTCCAGTGACCTGCTCTGGGAAGCCCCCTGGGCATTGGATGGCTGTCAGAGTTCAGGGTGGACCCCAGCTAGACTGTGAGCCCCCTAAGTGTAGGAAGTGTTAGTCTGCCCAGGGTGGTGGCTGGCCGCAGGAAATGGGGAGAGCTAAACTGCTGAAAACTTCTCCCACTGTGGAGGGAGGGAAGGGTTGGGGTCGGGGGACTGGCCCTAAGGAGCCTTCCCCCCTATTCTCCACCCTGCCTGAGTGCCCTTGAACCAGAGCAGGGTCACATGAAGGGCATGGTAAACATGGCAGTTTTCACCATGGGTGTGTTTCTGGGATGGTTGATGTGAAATCAGGAAGGGCGTTGGAGAGAGGCCCCAGCCCAGAAGCTGAGCCTGGCAGGGGGCCCCAAGCTGGGCCAGCCTCCAGCACCCCAAATTCTTCCTCTTCAGCCTGGGATGATTTCCCTTGCCTTATGGGTGGCAGGTTGGTGTGGGAGATCAGGACTGGGGCAGGAGGCCAGGTCTCTCAAGTCCTTTTCTTGCTCAGATTGGCCCTGGTGGAGCATTCACACCCATTCTACAAAGAACACCAAGAACGTTTATTCACGGAGGCCACCATCTGCACGGAACAGAGTGGTCTGGGGGACGCAGGGAGCAAGGGAGATGCTGGCCGAGGGGCAGGCAGGGAGTGGGGGAGCCCAGCAGTTGGTGGCTGGCAGCTGGGTTGTCTCCTAGGAGGGCTCGGGTCCACTGCCAGCTCCCAGCCCCACTCCTGCCTGCTTTTCCCAGGATGTGGCCACCAAGAGCCCTGGAGGCAGGCCTCTTGCAGCCAGAGCCTGGCTTGGATGCCCACTTTGTCTATAGCTCTTCCTCCTCCATTCTCAGGCAGGCCCCCTGGGATGAAGGGGAAGGGAAGAGAGGCACCCTGGGCCAGGCCAGCAGGTGGGATGCTGTTCGCCTTGCTCTTGTGTTCCCAGCTTGGTCAGCACCGCTCCTTTGGGAGCGCCGGGACAGTCTGTGGAGCCTGCAGGGAGAGAGCCAAGAGCAGCGGGCCACTGTGGGGTCCTGCTGTAGCCCCTTGGGCACCTCTACCTTTTCCGGACAGGGTGGGCATCAGAGGCAAGGGGTCCCAGCCTCGCTCTTCTCTATCCTGCAACCCCAGCATCCTCTCCTGCCACATCACTCAGCCTTGTGCCCCAGACACAGCTCCTTCCAAGCCCTGGCCTCCAAGGGGATCAAACAGCCCTACTGAGTGTAAAGGTAATGACCTGCAAGGAGCCCATGCCCTCCACTTGCACTGTGTGGCCACGAAGAGTCTGAACTTCTCTGAGCCTTAATTTTCTCATCTATTAGAAAGAGCGAAGTAGTTGCACCTGTCGTGTCGAGCTCTGGAGGGTGAGATGCAAAAGGCGGGGCTTGGTGCATTCCACAGAGGAGCAAGGAAAGGTGAGCTGATGGGAAGAAGAAAGGAGACAGAGAGAAGGAAGGAAGAACAAGCCCGAGCTGATCCACTGAATAGAGCCAGACCTGTCATTTCCACTTTTATAGATGAGGAAATTGAGGCTCCGTCTGTGGGTGAGATCCTCAAAATCACAACCAGTAAGCAGCAAAGCCAAGTGTGTAGCCAAGTCACCTTCTATACATTCCTTCCAGTTCAGAGCACTTTCCATACTCCTGTGCCTGTCCCGGCTTGCAAGGAGTGTGACTCTGAGGCCGCCAACCCCCGTGTGCCCACTCCAATCCAGGCAGGAGGGGTGGAAGCTCACATCCTCATTTCTTGATGCTTGCTTTTTGCCCCTTTGCTGGCATCCAATTCCCAGAGCTGGGCCCCCACTGGGAGAACCTGCCTGTGCTCACCTGCTTCTCACCTGCCCTGGGAGTTTAAGGTTCTGAGGGCTTGAGGGTAGAGTCCTCAGGGTGCAAGACCGTGCTCTTTGGCTCCTCGGGCATCTGCAGAGAGAGGAGGGCAGCTCCAAGGGCCTTGTCCCAGGCCGGGCGGATGGGTGTCCCTGGTAGAACTACAACAGCCTGGGCAAGTCTGGAGTGGCGTATGCTGTGTGGCGGGCGCCACCTTGTGATCACTGTGCAGAGCGCATGCAGAGAAGCAGGGCAGTCCACACCAGTATCAAGCCCTCTACAGCAGGTTAGCCACTGTCCAGGGTGCTGGGGCACTGCAAGGACGGGACGGGGTCCTTGCCCCACTTAGAGCAACGGGAGAGCGTTCAGGTGACGGGCACAGTGACAATATGAGCTGTAAATGCACACGAGAGGCTGATAACCCGCCTGGAGGGGTGGGATTCCGGTTGTGCTGAATGAACCCACTTTTGAAAGATGAGTAGTAGTGTGCCAGGGAGAGGCCGCATGGCAAGCTCCCGGAACAGCAGGAAGGTCCCAAAGTGAGGTGGGGTGAGATGTAGGGGAGGCCGGAAATGGATGGGTAGCTGGAGTGTGGGTGTTGGGGGGGGGATCAGCCTTGCCTTGGCTTCAAGGCTTGGATTTGATCTTAAAGATGGCCTCAGCTGAGGTGCAGGAGAGCATCTGTCTCACCCTGTCCTCTGGAAAGCCACCTCGTCTCCCAGGTAAACCACCCAGAGGCCAGGGGCTGAGGGGACGGCCTGATGGTGGCTCACTTCCACTGACACAGAATTAGATTTCGAAACTGAGCATTGCTGAAGGGTATTCAGCAGATAGAAGGTGTGAACTTAGAATAAATTACAAAGATCAAAACAGAACCAAGAGTGAACTTCTTTGTATGGGAATTGATAGTTTTTTTTAGTTTATTTCATTAGTGGTAAATCCATGTGAGTTCTAATTGTGGGGTCTAAAATAGTTTAAGTTCTGACTTTAAATATGGAATGAAAATAATGCTGCTAAAAAAAGAGTTTATTAAGAATGTAATAACACAGAATACTTTTTACGATAGAGACAGAGATAGAGCAGGATCCCAAATTGGGCATATAATCTTCGCTAAGAAAAATCTGGGCAGATTAAAAAAAAAAAAGACTGGAGAGACATATACCCAAAATATTAGCAGTGCTTGAATTAGGGTGATGGGATTTCTTTCTATTTTTCTCTATTTCCAGATTTCTCTTAATGAGTTTCTATTCGTTTTATAATAAAAAGATAGTTTAAAGAGAATGAATTCAAAAGCGTTATTAGTTATGTATATGAAATTGGCTTATAGTGGATATCAGTGAAAATTACCCAGAAAACTTTCTGGTGTGATTTTAAAAATACAGAGCCAAATGAAAGACGGTGATGGGCAGACCCGTGTCACAGGGATCACAGACACAGGTTAGGTCCTGCCCCCTGTCATGAGGGGAAATGCAGGTGGCTGTCATCCCCCACCATCTAATGCAGGTAAACACCTGCAACAAGGATTTGTTGGGAGGGAGGCCTGCCTGAAGTCACAGAAAGCCCAAATTGTGGCATGTTTTTAAAGAAACAGTTTTGTGACATCCTACTACTTTCAGCTTCTAGAACAATGTTTCTCAAGTCAGGTTTCTGTACTGATACTTCTCTGGATGCTGAAAGCAATGGAATGTCGCTCAGTTTTCTGGACCGGAATCAGCTGGGAACTTGTTCCCAAGAGGAGGCCCTACTCAATTACAGTTCTGGGCTGGCACCTGGGAAGCTGCATTTTTACAAGGTCTCCAGGTGGTTCTTATGGAGTCTGAAGCTGAACACCACAGCATGGTTCTTAATCTGGGCTACATTTTGATCTACCTGGGGAAGACTTAAAAAAAAAAAAAAAAAAAAAAACTCATAATGTCCAGGTCCTAACCCCAGACCGGTGAACTCCAAGCCTCTTGGAGCTGAGGCCTGGGCTCCGAGTGTCTGTAAGGCTCCCCAGGTGATTTCAATGCACGTGGAAGGGCCGTGGTTCTCAGAGGCGGGTATGGTTTTCATCAGAATCACGTGGAGGGCTTGTTGAAACACAGTGCTGGGGCCCACCCCTGAATTTTGGATTCAGAAGATCTGGGTGGGACTCAAGAACTTGTATTCCTAACACGTTCCCAGGTCTGCTGCTGCTGGGGAGCACAGGAGACCACACTTTGGGAAGGACTGCTCTAGAATAAAGCCTTCAGCCCCCAAGAGACACACAGCCTCTGGATGGAGGAGCAGGGTGATGCAGGCTCTGTCCCCAACCTTTAGCTTCTGGTCCCTTGGGGGCCCCAGCTCGGCTGATGTGGGCAGGGTCTGTGGAGAAGGGATGCAACTCCCTTTGTGCGGGGGAACAAGGCCCTGGAACTCACCTCCCAGTAGACTGAATCCTCAAAGCAGTTCTCGTCAGCGGGTTGCCCCCAGAATGGCAACTTCAAAATAATCCCTAAAGAAAGTTGGGGGTCACACAAGGTCAGGAACCATTTCTTCTCAGTCTACCCAGCCCTTCCCCTTAGCTGGGAAGCATCCCCCCGCCCCAGTCCCACAGCCACAAGAGCACAGGATTCCTGGGGGCTCTGGGCTGACCTCTGGTACGTGCTCTTGGGTCCCCCACCCACAGCGGCCCCACCTTCTCTGGCCCAGCCACTTCCACTCACCCACGATGATGCCGCCCACCAGGGCCATGGCCAGGGACACAAAGATACCAGCAGCCTGAAACTTGCCCTGCATGCTTGCGTTCCAGTTAGTCTTGAAACCATCAAAGCCGAAAGCAATGGCAAGCCTGGGGTGGAGATCAGGGGCAGGTCAGGGCACCGCAGAGAGGCCAAGAAACCACTTGCTGTCGCCCCACAAATGTGAGAAGGCACCAAGGCTCTGAGCCTTCCCGTGTGCACTGGACGGATCAGATGGTCCCTAAGGCTTTTGAGGAAGGACAGAGGTTGGGGAGAGAGGCCTATGGACCGTGGTTCAGATTGGGGTAGGTTAGGAATACAGACAGTATGTTGGACCCCAGAGGAACAGCAGGAAGAAGGAATGGAGAAAAGGAAGGAGGGAGCTCCTGCCCCTCCTCCATACTTACCCCTTTACTCCATACACATCACTGCTGGCACAGGACGCCGTCACGGCCCCCACGATGCCACCGATGATGCCAGGAATGCCATGCAGGTTGTGAATGCCGCATGTGTCCTGGATCCGCAGCCGGGCCTCCAGGAATGGCTGGACAGGGGTGACGGCTGTTACTCAGACCCTGAGCAGTGGCAGGGGTGTGGGCACGCCAGAATTCTGGAGGCCCCAAATACATGGAAACCCAGGATCCTCCAGCCCCCAGCCCCTTCCCTAGGGAACCCCCCTCCTGTCAGGAACACAAGACCCCAGGATTCCCCAGCCCTCAGCCCCTGGCCTGGGGTCCTCACCGTCAGGTACACAAAACCCAGGGTGGAGACAATGCCGCAGATGAAGCCAACGATGAGGGAGCCATAAGGCATGAGCATCATTTCAGCGGCCGTCCCCACGGCCACCCCTCCTGCGAGCGTGGCGTTCTGGATGTGCACCTGGGTAGGGCGGGCGGGCGGGCCGGAGCTCAGTCCTCTCCCAGAGCCCGCAAAGCGCCCCGTGTGTGGGGGCTGCTGGCGCTGGGAGGCAGGGTTGACCCCCAGGGCATCTCGCGAGCGCGCGGACCGCAGAGGGCCCCAGCCCGGGCCCCGCTCCTGTGCTCTCTGCACATTGGGCGCCCACACCAGCGGGCTGGCCATCGTCCATGGACACAAATCGGCGTACTTGTGTCGGGGTGGGTGAGCCCCCTTGGCACGTGTGCACGTTCCCTCTAGCTCTGTATGCGCAGGTGCGCATGTCTCCTGCTCTCTACACTCGCGTCGGCTGACATCAGGCACCCGCGAGGCCCTACACGTGCGCAAACACCCATGGCGGGGTCTGTGGGCTTGCAAGAGCACCAGCTGACCCTCTCTGAGGGCGGACCTGCACCCGGTACTGTGCTGCCCACTGTGGGGTGGATTTCAGTCCGTCTCCACAGCAAGCCCAGGAGGTAAGGACACTTATCTTTGGATGTTTGCAGAGGAGGAAATTGAAGTGCAGGGAGACCACATAGCTAGCAAGAGGCAGAAAGGTATCTTGATCCGGGTCTGTGTGGAGCCAGGGCCCCTGACCTTGACCCTATTCTGTGTCCTTGTCGGCGTGTGGGGGAGGGGGGGTCTTGGGCGCACACAGGTGTGCCTATGTCAGTGTGTTTGATTCTCTTCCCCCTGATGTGGGCGTCCCTACCTCTCTGTGTGGTGAGTGTCCAGTGAATCCAGGGGCTCCTGGCAGTGTCCCAGCACACATATGCCCATGTCAAGAAGCTAGTGTCAGACTAGGAAATAGAGAGGTGGTCTTCTTTTTATAGAAAAATTGACCAACATCTATGGGGTTTGGCCCCTCCCCACTAATGACAGAACAGTCTGTCCTGGTGGTCTGAGGAAGGACACTGTGAAACCGCATCCCCCTACAAACCTCCCCGGGGGAGTGAACAGACATCAAAGGGGTCCCCTTTCTGAGTGTATGGGGCGGGGCAGGTGGAAGCAGCTTTAGGAAGGCTGAGGGCCAGTGTTTGGAGGATCAGAAGCCTGGCAGAGCGGAAGTGCCCCTGGTAACCGTACCAGGCAGGTCTGATGGGGTCCTCAGCCCAGAACAGCCATCAGCCCCCCAGGCTGGGAGGAAGAGAATGAGGAGGAGGAGCCGCTCATCCAGCACAGCCAGTGTAACAGAATCTGGGAATCTGCTTCTGGGCTTGGCCGAAAACCAGCTATGGAATCTGAACAAATCATTTCTTCCCGCGACTCAGTTTTTTCATCTGCAGGATGGGTGTGATCATCCTGATGCTGCCTGCCGCCTGCCTCACAGAGTCGTTGGCAGGGCATGGTGATCAGTGCCCACTGGGCACAGGCAGTCATAGTCACACCTCACCCCAGGGCTCCCCAGCCCCCCCCCCCGCCCTGCTGCTCACCATGTCCAACTTGCCCTTCTTGTGCAAGGCGCTGGACAGCGCCACCGAGGTGAGCACACAGGCTGCCAAGGAGCAGTAGGTGTTGATGGCAGCTCGGTGCTGGGCATCTCCGTGGTTGGACACAGCTGAGTTGAAGCTGGGCCAGTACATCCACAGGAAGAGGGTGCCTGGCCAGACCAGACAGGACCAGTGGGCCCGGGAGAAGAGGTGTTAGATGGGCCCAACAGAGCTTAGGCAGACATCCTATCCTTTAGTTCCAGAGATGTCATATGACTCACATACCCCAGCAGTTTCCCACCCCTGCAGCTTTCCTCATGCTGGGGGCTCTTCCCAGAACATCCTCCCTGTCTTACTTACTACCTTTTACTTACCCTCCACTCTGCTCCGGGAAGTCTACCCCGACCCCATAACTGGGCTAAATGCCTCCCACCTTGCTCCCATAGCACCATGAGGGAGAATAATCTTTTTCTCTACTGTAGTTAGATTGTCTTGTAACATTGCCATCTCTTCCACCACACTGTGAGGAGCTCCTTGAAGGCAGGGCTGGGTTTTAGGAGGCCAGAGTGGGTGGTTGATATGTATTCTCTGGAATGAATGGACACAGGAAGTAGGAATTCACACCTTGCCCTAGCCCAGGGGATGGACTGACCAGTTCCTGGTTACCACTTTGTCTGCCTTGGGGCACCCTAGGGAAAACAGGATGAGTGACCAACTTCTTCTAGCCCCATGGGAAAAAGGGACAAACATCTGGGATCCTGGAGGTGTCTACAGGCAACCCCCCTCTGTCTTTTCCCCAAAGGGAACTGCCTGCCACCCACCAGACCATGTGGGGATCAGGTGTAGTTTTGGTGGCCTGAACTCCTCATGGAGACCCTCACCGAGCATGGTGGTCCTCACCCATCATGGCAGCCCTCAGGCATCATGATAGCCTGTGTCCATCATGGCCACCTTCACCCATCATGGTGGCCCTCAATCATTATAGTCGCTCTCACCAATCATGGCAAAGAGGTCCGAGTGGTACACAGCGCTCTGTCTCTCCTTGCTCTGGTGTAGGCTGGGTCGGTAGAGGATCCAGGTCACTGTGAGCCCAAAGTAGGCGCCAAATGTGTGGATGGTCATAGAGCCCCCTGCGTCCTTTACCTGGGGTGTAGGGATCTGTCAGGCTCTGATACCTTCTCTCCCTCCCATCTATTAGCACTTTCCGTCCCCACCCCCGTGAAACACACACACACACACACACACACAGCTCCATCTGTCTCTGACTCCACAAGCTGCAGGATGGAGCCCAGGGCCCCCACAGACCAATCAGTTGGGAAGGTGAGAAAGCAGGGATCCCTGAGTCCACGCTGTGAGCCTGTCAGCAAAATGTCAGAGCATCCTCACCCAGCAGATGGCACTGTGCCCAGATGGGGAAACCCAGGCTTGGAGAGGACCTTGCTCAGTCACACAGTGGGAAGAGGTGAAGCAGAGCTAGAACCCAGGGCCACCCCCTATCTAGTTTGTCACCCACTAGCTTCTATAGTATCTTAATTCCTGGGAGCCCTTCCCTCCCCTCCAGGCCGCCCCTCCCCACATTTCTTCCTCCACAGCCACTCCTGGCCCAACCCCACTCCGTCTAGACTGCCGCTCCTCATCTCCCCAGCACCCTGCCACACTCCTTGCCCGACAGCCTCCCAGCTGACCACCCACTGCCCACTCCATCCCCATCCCCCTGTCCCCCCCCCCCAGTCAGAGCATGCAGATTGGTTTCTTCCTCTTCTGTCTCTTTCTGCCCTCCCCCACTCTGTGCAGCAAGTTCCTCCTTCACAAAGTTGGGGAGACCAGGGTGCCTTACCTAGCAGGGCTGTCTCGAGGGTGAAACTAGACAACTTGTGTACAGCACCTGGCGAGTGCCTGGCACCCCACAGGCGCTTGGTTGGCTTAGCCTTCCTCCCCATGCCCCCACCTCCCCTCTCTTCAGCCTCCTGTTCTTCCCTACTCAGAACCAATCTCAGGGGAAATTCCAATCAGAATCATAGACTTGCTCCTTCACTGTAGATGGGGAAATCCAGCCAGAGAGGTTAAGTGTGTTGTCCAAGGTCACAGAGCTAGTTAGTTGTTGACAGAGCTGGGTTTCCCGGTTCCCAGCCTGGCGGGTACCTCTACTAGCTGTGGCACCTGGGCCCAGCCCCTTAACCTCTGAGCCTCAACTTTCTCTTCTGTAAAGTGGGGGTAATAATTGCACCTATCCCGGAGATGAGTATTAATGAGATAAGCCATGTGAAGTATTCAGAGCCGGGCCCCGCCAAGGGCAAGTGCTCCTTACATGTCAGCAGTGATTGTTGTATTTTGACTTGACCCAGAGACAGGCCCAAAGGCTGTCAGGCTTTCAAAGAATTTTGAATTCTTTGAATTCAAACCTCAAAGGTTTTTGAGGGCCTCTTCACTCGCGCCCAAGATACTACATTCTCAGCCTATTTCAAATCACGCCCATTGGCCGCCGCCCCAGCTGCTTTATTCTCCACACCTCCCACCCCAGCCAGGCCCCAAGGCCAGTGCACTCACCTCTTTTATACCTGTTGAACTATTACCTTCTCCTTGTACTACCTCAGTCCCAGTCCCATTACCTCTCATCAGGGCCACAAGGACAGCCTCCTAACTGGGCTCCCTGCTCCCAGCTGTTCTTACCACAGCCAAAGAGGCGTTTCCATTCCATGTGTCTGACCGTGCCACTCCCCTGTCTAAAACCTTCCATAGCTCCCCACTGCCCTCATGACAAAAGTTGAAACCATTTAATGCCATCTTCAGGAGTCTTGATGATCCATACTCCTCCCTCCATTACCCTTTCAAACATACCCCCCGCCCCCCCCCGCCCCCCCCTACCGCACACCCTCTTCCAGCCAGGTGGAGCCACCGGAGACTTCTCACTGTGGGCCTCCCTCAAGGCCTATGCACTCACTGTTCCCCCTGCCTTACTCCTTCGTCTGGTTATTTCCCACCTGACTTCTAGCTTTGACATCTTTTCCTCCAGGAAGTCTCCCTGACCTGTCCTGCTGGTATAGGCACCCTCCCTTTAGGCCATCAAGCACCTGACCCCACTCCTCATCGCACTGCGTGGTTACTGTCTATTGACTTCCTGGTTCCCTCTCTAGATTGTGAGCTCTTTGGGGGCTGAGCGAGAGGCCTGCTCACCTCTGTATGGCAGTGCCTGGAGCATTGCCTAACGTGCAGTCAGACTCCAAAATGCATTTACTTGATAAATACTTCTTGAGCGCTTATTAGGCATTGAACTAGGTGCTGGGGATACACACGGTCCAGACATATCAGGTTTATCAGAGAAGAAGTGTTACGGAGAAAATAAACCAAGTCAATACGAGAGATAGTGACTAGGGGTCAGGTGGGGGGCAGTAAGATAGAGGGCAACACTGTGGGGTGGGGAGAATCTGGGAGGGCCTCTCTGAAGAGGCAATAGCCAGCTGAGACCTCAGTAATGAAAACGACTGAGGGACGAGCATTCCAGGCAAAGGGAATATCAAGTGCAAAGGCCCTGAGGTGGGACCAAGCTTGATGTGTTGAGGAGCAGACAGCAGGGTGTGGCCAAAGCACAGGAAGATGGGGAGAGAGTAGATTATAAGCTTGGAGGGAAAGGCTGAGGGCAGAACATGTGGGGCTTTATAACAAATTTGGATTTTACTCGAAGAAATTTTAAAAACCACTGGAGGGTTTTAATCAAGGGAATGGTCTTACATGCATTATTAACAGGTCTCCATGGCTGCTGGTGGGGATTGGCCTGAGGCAGTGCGTGGGGCAAGGATGAAGACAGGGAGATGAGTTAGGAGGAAGAGAGATGGTGGCTTGGGCTAATCTGGTAGCTGAAGAAAATGACAAAATGAATGACTGAATGTAGTGTGACCTAAAAGAAAAAACAAAAAAACTCTACCCCTTGTGGGGGGTGGAAGTGTTCCAGGCAGAGTCCAAATGTGGAGGAGTTGGGGGCTAAGAAATGGATGAAGTCTGTGAATGACCTTCACCTCTGCAAAGGTACCAACGAGGCATCTGAGCTAGAGTCAGAGGTCTAAGGTGCCTCTTATTTGGGCCATTTAATCGGCCAACTTCAAGGGGCATCATTCCTGCCATAGTCCATGTGAATGTCATCTCTGGAGTTGTGCAGGGCACAACCTATGCAGCTGTACATGTCCACCGTGGCTATTCCCCTAGGATCCTTCCTGACAGATGTGCCCCCTCAATACACTGGGTCCTTTTCCTGGCAGAGCATTCTGGGAATGAGGTGTGTGTGCGCCAGAGTGTGTGCAGGAACACCCACTCTTTCCATCCGATATGCAGGAAAGAGAAAGGAGGGAGAAAACCACCATATGAGGAGCCCCTGCTCTGCCCAGGTGCTGGACTGATTTGCTAGGTGGACAGCCATTCCTGCCCAATAAATGTCATTACTCTCCTTTTAGAGATGAGGAGACTGACGTTCAAAAGGTTAAGTGGCTGGCTAAGGGTGAATTGAATCCAGCTGCCATGGCTCCTCAGCCCTCCCTTTCTCTCCTTCCCTGCTGTCACCCCAAGTGTCCCCCTCCATCCCCATCCTGAGCCCTGCTCACCTCTAGCAGGCTGAGGAGGATGTACTCATTCACTGAAAAGAGGGTCACTTGGAAGAGAGTCATGATGAGTAGCTGGACAGGGCTGACTTTGCCCAGAACTGCCCCAAAGGCCACACAGACAGAGCCCACGCAGAAGTCCGCATTGATGAGGCTGCGGGGAGACAGGTCAGGGGAGGGGTGAGGCAACAGCAAAAATGGCACTCCGAGTCCTGGGTTTGAATCTGGACATTGGTCATCTGTGTATTTGGCCTTGTGGCTTAACCTTTCTGAGCCTCAGTTTCATGGCGTAGTCATGAGCACATAACATCTTAAAGCTACTCTAGGAATGAGACGAATTAGCACATGAAAGGGCCAGCACAGCAATGGCATGTGCCAGATGCCAGACCCTTCCTCCGTGGCCCCCATCCCAGGGCCCCCTCCTTGCAGGCAGCTTGTATTTAAGGCACTCAAATTGTCCAGCTGCTGTTCCGGAACATGCCCCATATTTGGGGGCTTGCCCTGCCCTCCATCCTCTACTTGCCCTTCTAGAACCTCCTCTGACTGCCTCCTCTTTCAGGAAGCCTTCCTGGATTCCTCCACGCAGATGTGGTGTCCACCTCCAGACCCTTATCTCTCACTCTACACACACATCTCCTGCTGGCTACCAGGGCCCTGCTTGGGTTTGAGCTCTCATGACCTCCTTGTCACCTTACCTGGAAGAGAGGATCTGTGTCCAGGGAATAAAGAGAGGCCTTCCTGCAGGAGGTAGGGAGGGAGCTGGGGGCTCAGTGGAAGGGGGCAGGAAGGCCAACAGAGAGAATAGAGGCAGAGGAGCACCTAAGTCCCCCTAAAGTCTGGACCTGAAAGCCCAGGCAGCCAGCAGAGGGCTGATGGAGAGGCAGACAGCCAGGTAGATGTCATGTGGCCAAAGGAGACCCTGGTTCCATCCATGTGCCTGCCTAACCCAGGCCTTCCTGTGCTCGGCCAGCAGCAAAGCTCAAGGCAGAGTCATGAGAATTGTTAATGGGGGGGGGTGGATATAGGGACAGTAGAGGCTACTTCCTCAAGCCGTTCACATCCAGAGGAAGTGCCCTTGCCCCGTGCTTAGGTGTGTATGAGAGAATCAGGAGGTGAGAAGTAAGAAGCCAGCTGATCGTTGGGCCAGGGTGTGGAATGGGAGCTGTTCTGTCAGGGTCCCTCCTAAGATGAGGATGTTCATTGGAACCTCTGCTTCACTATGACCTTTGTTCACTACTGTGTCCCCAGGGCCTCACACAGAGCCTGGCTGAAGGAATCATGGCATTTACTAAGTGCCAGGCACTGAAATACCTGTTAGGTACTGGGTATGCGCTCCTGTACCACGCCTAAACCTGAGGGGACAGGTACTATTACTAGCCACACCAGAGAGACGGAACAGGGAGGCTTAGAGAGGCCAAGTTATTTGCTCATGTTCCCATAATTGTAGCCAGAAGACTGATCTGACAGAGGTGACCATCAGGAAGGAGTGAGGGGGAGAGCAGAAAAGCCCACACCTTGGGCCATCAGCTCCCAGGAGATGGAGGTTTGCATGTCACATCTCAGGAGGGCCCACGGAGGCTTGGGCAGAGCCCGTACAGGGCATTGCCCTACAGTGACAGGTAGGACCTGGAGGACTCTTCAGCAGGGACAGGACAGAAGCCAGGAGGAGGGTCTGGGGGCAACATGATCATCCAGCCCTGAGCACCAGAATCGGCTCCATCTCGGTTGCTGAAAATCAATTCCCTGAAAGCCAGTTTGCCAAAAACTCAATTTGTTAAGTGACCAACTTGCGAAATAACTAGTTCACCAAAAACCTGCCAACTCACAAAGTTTACGATAATTCCCTTTGAAGATTTTTAAAAAGTTGTATACTTTTGTTTTTTTCATCTAGCCATAGCTCTTTCGCTGGGGTGGCCAATTAAATATATTACAGGTGTTTTCATACTTTGGGTCTATGGCTTTAGGAGTGAGACTTTCTCGTGTATTTTGAACTGCATGTTGATATTCATGTCAACGATTTTATATACAAAACACTGGCTTATTGATTCCAACACATTTTCTGTCTAGTCAACTATTTTTCCAGTTTCTCTTAAGTCATGGCTTCACTGACCTGCTTGAGTGATTTAGTATCTTGCAAATATTTGGCATGTTTTAAATTTCAGACACCAGGCCTATGACCCCCGGTTGATGCCCTCTGTGTGACGTGGTTTTATGGCAGTTTGCCTCTAAACCCTTTCTGCCAAGCCGACTAAGGAGTGTTCGTTTGCACATCAGCCCCCTCGCCCTCTGGGCCCCGCCCCCGCCCCCCCCCCGCCCCGCCCCTTGCATCTGGGCCCCGGCCCCGGCCCCGCCCCAACACCATGGGCCCGCCCTCGGGCCCGCCCCGCGCTCACTTTTCCACGCCCACGTGAATGTAGCCTTGGTCGTAGGAGTGGAACCAGCCCTGCATGAGCAGCGCCCACTGGATGCCGAAGGCCGCCAGCAGGAAGTTGAAGCCCACAGAACTGTAACCGTAGCGCTGCAGGAAAGTCATGAGGAAGCCGAAGCCCACGAAGATCATCACGTGCACGTCCTGGAAGCCTGCAGGGAGAGCGCAGCCCGGGGTCTCGGTGGCCTCGCCCGCCCTAGCCCTGGGTCTGGGCCAGCGCCGCCCGGCGCAGCGCCTGGTGTCTTGCCGGCCGCTGGGCCCCCAGGTAGTCTCCCGAGCCCCCTCCTCCCATCTCTGCATCTGGATCCCAGGGCTAGGCGCAGTTGCTGCAGGTAGAACAGCCACTACCCGCATCTTGTCCTAAGAACCTCTGGAGGGGGCTGGGCTTGGGGGGACCGAGGGGAGCCTCCCACTTTAGACCGCTTGTTCTAATGCCAAGACGTGCCTGAGCGCCCCCTCAGGAGATGACAGCTTCGTCTCTCCACCCTCACCCAGGGCTGGGGTGGGCAGCTGGGCATTTGAAATTGGGGCCAGGGTGTGGCTCACACCTAGAATCTAGGGTCTAGAACCCAGACTTTCTGCGGCCTTGCCCCCTCAATCCATTTTTTTTAGTACAGAGAAGGTAGTCTCATCTGGGTCTGAGTCTCTCCAGGGGCCAAGCACATGAGTTGATCATCCCCCCCCCCCCCCCGAATGTCACATCCCACCTCCACCCCCTGCAAGTACACTTTGTTGCATCACTGAGACCCGAATTTGGGCCCCAGTTCCTCCATCTGCTGGGTAGATGACTCTGCAAAGTCAGGTAACATCCTTGGGTCTCAGCGCCTTCTGTAATGCTTACTTACAAAGCCTGCAGAGATTAAATGCGGTTGTGTAGGTAAACCACCTTGCAGTGTCCATCCCATAAGAGGTGCTCAAAATGGACAAGTGTCATTATTATTGTTGCTTTATTATAATTTATTGTTACTTAGGCATAGGCTAATTCTGCTTTTTGAACCAACTCTTCCACCAACTCTTGGGGTGTGGCCTTGACAAGCTACTTCCCCTCTGAGAGCCAGTTTTCTCCATAAAACCAAAGGATGGATTAGAGTGATCATAACTGTCCTCCCAGTGCTAATGTTGCCTGATTCTAGAGTCCCAGAAAATAATAGAAGGCATGCTTGTAACTGAATGCTGAGAGCCAGACAGCTAAATGTGGAATGAGCGCTGAAGTTGGAAAATCGTGATTTTCACAGTAAAGACTCCATCAGCGGATGCTAAATCCAGGAGGAAATTTTGATGAAGAGCAGAACATTTGCATTGTCTTCAAGAGTCTTCCCAGAGACTGTGAGTTGCAAGGGATTGAAAAAAACAACCCAGTAATTATGAAGTGGAGAAACAGGACGACATCTCAACTGGGTGATCAAAATTAACCTCACCCATGAGGGACAGGTGGATTATCACGGGCCTTCAGATGTGGTCATCTGAAGGAGACTTATCACCTGTATGGTATTCTAGCCCAGCAGGTATTATCCCAGTCTACTCACAAGGAAGCATCATACACATAAAAAATGAGTAATGTGAAGTTAGAAGGGGGGTAGGTGAGGATTTAGTCTTGAAAAAGGTCAATGTCGTAAAAGACAAAGGCGGCAGAAATGTTCCAAGTTAAAAGAGACTAAAGAGACATGCCAACTACACTCACTCCCTAACTCTGGACTGGATCCTGGATTTGGGGGGGGGTGCGAGGAGAGCTGTAAAGGTTGTTATTGACAAAAGTAGAAAATAATTAGAAATTTAGGTTGAGGAAATTAGGAACCGTATATTAAGGTATCACACAATGTAGACTGATGAAATTGATTAGCCTCGTTATGGAAGAGAATCCCTCTATTCTCAGGACATATCCTGGAGTCATGAAGGTGACAACAGGGCCATGGCATGTGTCACCAACCCTCAGATGGTTCAGAGGAAACAAGTGTGTGTGTGTGTCTGTGTCTACGTGCGGAGAAAGAGGAGCAGGTTGCTGAATTGGAGTTACACAGTATATAGTGCTCTTTTTTTTTAAAAAAGATTTTATTTATTTGCGAAAGAGAGAATGAGAGAGAGAGAGCACGAGAGGGAAGAGGGTCAGAGGGAGAAGCAGACTCCCTGCTGAGCAGGGAGCGCAATGCGGGACTCGATCCCAGGACTCCGGGATCATGACCTGAGCCGAAGGCAGTCACTTAACCAACTGAGCCACCCAGGCGCCCTATATAGTGCTCTTCATGCTACTTCTGTTTTAGCAACTTCTTGAAAATTTGAAATTCTTCCCAAGTAAAAAGTAAAAAAAAGGGGGGGACCTGCAGGGACCATCCACCTGCCCCATTGTTCTTTCCTCATTCTTGCCCCATGCTCCCCCTCCATGCACCAGCTGCACCGGCCTGGCGTGTTCCTCTGCCTTCCTCCGGGGTCTCTGCCTGTGGCCTCCCCCTGCCCGGGATGCTGTTCCCGCAGAACTGCTGTTCCCACAGCCCCCTTGGCTAGCGGCCACCTGGAGGCGGCTTAGGGAGGAGGCACTGGCCCAGTGCAGGGTGGGGGTGGGGGCATGCCAGCTGAAGCAGGAGAGCCGTGGGTCTCACCCCAGTGTGGTGCTCGGAGCTGCTGTCTGGAGACCTGTGCGAATTTGCACGAACACACAGCAGCTTGGAGTAGCTTTCACGATGCGTGCAGCTGATTTCGTGTATTATCGCGTTTCCTGGTTTATCACGTTTCCAACTGTTGTGGGGGAATCTGAGCTAATGCGTGTGAGTCACCATACGCCGCATTATGGTTATTCTTGGGAAGAACGGATGGGTGGCAGACTGGAGGAGAGGTGTGAAAGAGGGACGTGACACTTTCAGACTACAGTTCCAGCGGCAGGGAGGGGAGCTGGGTGTGGAGTGGGAGGGAGGGGCTGCGTCTGGTGCTGGCCTTGGAGTTGAGAGGACCACAGCGGGGGGGGGGGGGTAGGGGAGTCGTGAGGGTGGGCAGGGCAGATGGGAGGAACGGAGCCTGGCTGGGCAGGGTGAAGCGGGGACCTGAGCCCGGGGTGGTGGGGGGGGCAGGCCATCAGATGGAGCTGTGAGTCAGAATGTGGGCACAGAGAGGGGGAGAGAGCAGCTGAGAGCTGGCTTGCCTTTGAAGGTAGCAGGCCGGACAGGGAAGGCGCCGGCAGGGGGTGGGAGGAATCCCTGGAAAGAGGCAATCACAGAGGATGGGAGCCTTTCGGCTGTTTGGTGGCAGAGAGGAACCATGTGGGCAGGGGTGGGTACGGTGGAGGGGGCCCTCCTGGGGGGTAGCTGCAATTTCAGGGCTGCCCGAGGCCCTCCCCTTCTCAGTGCACCATCCTTGCCTGCCCCCCTCACCAGTTCTCTGTCCTCCGTGACTCCCCTAACTCCCTGGTTGTCCTGACCTCTCTCTTTGCCTCTCTCTGCAGGGGGGGGGGCGGTGTCTCTTTCTTCTGCCCCCACCTCAGGCACACAGATGCCAGCTTCCCTCTCCTTGGGCACCTCCCTGTTCATTCTCTTGCTCCCTTTCTGTTTATCTCCCAAACTGGTCCTAATTTAGAACCCCAATCTACCAGTTGATTAATTCATATTTTATAAAGTTTGGTGCTACCTAGAATGCTTTTACTAGTAATGGTTTGAAGGTCCCAATTGTGTGACCTTTGGGAAGGACATCATCTCTCGGATCTGCAGTTTCTTTTTCTGTAGAGTGGGGTTAGTCCGTGTGCTCGGGTAGTGCTCACCCCAGAGCTCTGTGGTGCACATTTAATGACTCCATCCAGCCCTGGGTAGAGGCCTGGCTCTTTAGCAAATTGATCAATCATATTAGCTACTATTTCTCTTTTTCTCTTTCAAGGCTGTCCTGTGTTTCACACTGAGTTGGCGATTTGCTGTAGATCAGTGGAAGCTGGTGAGACACCTTCCTTTCCCCCCTCTCTTTCCCCAGCCTGGGGCGACACAGCAGTCCTGCGCTGCCCAGAATCTGTCCTCTCTACGCAGAGGCACCCCCGCCTCCATGGGGCGCAACTGGCATGCTGGCCTGCAGCCACGAGGGCTGCCACAAGGGGGCACCAGTACACAGCGGTTCTCGCTCTCCCCTTCTCCACCCACTTCCTAGCTCCCACTCTCCCCCGCCTCCAGGATGGGTCCCCAGTGAAGCTGGCCTTGGCTCTGAAATCTGAGGACAGCGTTTCCCCGGGCTGCTGGACCACAGCAGCTTCCAACCTCCCTGCTGTCTCGGCACAGAAAGCGTGAAGCCCTGCCTGGTGCAGGCTGGTGCTGCTCCCTTCCCATTCTCTGCAGGCCAGCACAGCCCAGATTTGCCTTTGAGGCCTCCTGGTCAGGCCCTCACTTCCCCAAGGCTCTGTGCCCACCTCTCCCACACCTCAGAGCCGACCACAGAACCACCCCATCACCACATAATCTCCTGGCAATGGTGCAGAGGCCCGGGAAAGCAGGTGGGCTGTGGGGTGGGAGGGCTCAGCCAGTCCCCGCCTATGTCACTGGCACTGAGAGTGTTGGGCACATCTCTAAGGTCCACCTCCGGCCCCACAAGATGGAAGGAAATGCCCTGCCTGACAGAGCATGCAAAAGGTATTTGTAAGTGGGGAGAGCGCAAAAGAATTTAAATGCTAACATCGTTGAAACTAACATTCAGGGAGACACTCCTTGGCCAGATCTCTAAAGAGATGCTGTGCCTCCACTCACATACCTTCAGCGCCAGAGCACTCACTCCCCTCTGAGGATGCTTGGTACCAGCATTCACTGTCCCCTCACTTCTTGCCCCCAGATGTGCCCTACCAATCATCTGCCCTCTTCAATTTTCCTGGAGATCCAGTGTATTAAATAATATTCCCACTTCACAGATGAGCATACCGAGGCTCACTGCATTTAGCGATGGACCTGGGTCTGTTTAATTCCCTCTGAGACTTGTGGGAATGGAGCTGAGTCTGAGGTGTAGGTCCCAGGAGGGCAGAGCCAGCCTGACAGCTGTGGCTTCATGAAACAGTCTTTCGGGTGTTGTAACTATGGCATCCTCTGCCCTGGGTCATCTCCTAGAAATGTGTCCCGCTCCTCCTTCAGTCTTTGCAGGAAGTTTCAGGAGCCCAGACTCTGAGGGCTCCTCCTCAAGCCAACTTCCCCCGGACACTGCCAACAGCCACTGAGGCCCCAGAGCACCAGCCCGTGAGGAAGCTTTGTGTCCAGCAGCCAGTGCCTGGACAACAGGCCTCTGAGGGCACCGTCAGGGCAGGTTCCCAGCTGGCTTGGTGCCTGCTGCCTGCCGAGGGGCCCGGGCCTGGGGAGCCGTCCTGAGGGCCTCCTGAGCCCCAGCCTGAGCCAGCTGGAGCTGGACTCTTCTGGAAACCAGAGATGCCCAGCAGGCTGCACTCATCCCCCCGGCAGGAATGAGGCCCACACAGGTGTTGTGTTGACAGCCTAGAGCCAAGAACCCAGAAGGTACCACAAGGGCATGCCCTCAACCCAGGCCCCTGGGAATTGCCCCACTGGAGCCCCACCTGCGCCAGGAGGCCCCGTGCCCTCTAACTCCTAACCATAACCACCATGACCAGGTGGACCAGAGAAGGGTCAGGCAGGCGGGGAGGTGGGAAAGGTGAGCCTGGAGGAAAGCGAGCGAAGGAGAGGAGCCCAGGGTTCCTACGCTGGCTCTCTGGATTTCCTAGTCCCTCCCCTTCTCTGGCCTTAGTCTCCTTGTCCGTAATAGGGGGCGTCCCGACACTGCCTTCCTTCTGGGGTGGGGGGGTGTCAAAGGAGAGAACGCACATCTGCTAGCTTGCCGTGTTGCCATTACTTGCCAAGGAATCCCGAGGCCGAGAGTCTCTCCCTATACTCCTCTCTGTCTCTTCCTGCATGATGACCAAGAGCTTCCCAGCACCCACGGGGGAAATGGCAGGAGAAACTCAAGCCCTCCTTGATGGCTGGGGCTGTCTTGTCCCGCTTAGCAACCTCCCTCCTGTCCCTTTCACAGGCCCTACGCTTGCGCCACTCTGCACCACTCACGTGCTCCCCGCATGCCTGCCCTGCTTCCCCCCTCCTCACCGTCTTACTACCTTCCAGGACGCTGTCTCAGATCTCTTCTGCCCAGAGAACCTGACCCCATTGAGGACAGGGTGTTGGGGTGCTCTCAATGAGTCTGGGAGCCCCTCGGGGTTAGAGACCCAGGATATGCAACTCGTTCATCGAGAGTGGCCATAAGTCTTGGTCTCTTGGAGGAGGAGTCGGTGGTTTACGTGTGTGTCCTGGCAAATTACTACTAGCACGACTTACCCACCTCCTCCCTCTCAAAAGCGTTATTGGTCAATAAATTATATGGCCACCCTATAGGTAAGTGATTGTTGTGTGAATAAATGAAGGTGGATGTGGATGGAGTGGGTGGAGTGGGGATAGGAGCTGGGGGGATATGAGGACCGCACCCCTCATTGGGAAGGTTCTGTAGCTCCTGTTTTAGGGTTTTGAGACTTTCCACTGCCTGGACTCCTCAAGGACCTATGAACGCCCATGGGAGACCTTACCTCCTGTGCTTTGCTGGGAGGCTGGCTTTTTGGCCAAGAGATGAGCAAGAGCCAGAGCAGAGGAGTGCAACAGGCAAAGGAGGATCTCAAGCTGGTCTGCCTCTCCATTTGCTGGGTCAGTCCAAGGAGAGAAAAGGTGGGCAGTGAAAGGCGGATTTGGAATCTAAATTCTAAGGCCTCAGCTGTCAAGATCTCTTAAAACACGACGCTGAGTGGAGCCCAGTAGAGGCTGTGGTCTCAACCAGCACAGGGTACACCCCTGCTTCCATCACCTCCCTTCTTCTAGGCACCATATTTCTATTAATGTAGCCTGGGGGTGCGTTAGCTTTTTGGCAGCCATTTAATATGGCTGGCTCCCACTGAGTTGGCAACCTCCTCACCTTTGTCTTTGTTCATTCAGGCCATCATCCTGAATGTATGCAGTTATTTATTTGGATCTAAGTGAAATGTTATTTCTGGAGTTAAAGACTCCCATTACTGAGGGTATTCAAGCCACAGAGGGAATGCCAGTTGGCATGGGTGGCTGTTGCCAGTGAGCTTTAGGGTCCTTGCCGAGACTAACGGTCCATGACCATTTGAGCACCAACAAGTTGGAATGATTGTCATTGGCTGCTGGTGGATGGTGTGGGCAGTCAGAAAGCACACGGGTATAGAAAGAGCCCTGGGCTGAGAGTCTGGAGGTTGGGTCGACCTGAGTGACCTTGGGCCAGTTTTTCCAACTCCTGAGTCCTAGGGCTTGTGTGCCTCGTGTTCTTCCAGTAATTGCTCCCTTAGGAAGTGAGAGCTCCGTGGCCAGGGCCGTGCCAGAGCTCAACGGGCACTGTCTCACGCCAGCCTCACCCCTGCCCCATAAGGCAGATGTGGAAAAGGAGTCTCAGTGAGGTTGACATGAGCCTAAGGCCACCCACCTGGTCAATGGCGGAACCATGACAGGAGTAAGCTCTGGTGATTCCACAGCCAGGCTCTGAACCACAGTACCACAGATACCAGAGAATTCAGGATGTTCCTTCTTCCTCTCCAAGCCAGAAGAGGGTGGGTGCCGGGGTCCCACACACCTCTCCTCGCAGCCACCTGCAGCCCTTGGCATGGGACCTACCCCCTTACGTGGAGAGTACGGGTCCAGCTGGACAAGCGTGCCAGGGTCACCCCCTGATTGGTGACTGAGATGGGTCTCGGGTCTTTGGAGGACAAGTAGGGCTCTCTGGCAGGGAGGTTGGAAGGCTCTGATGGCCCCCGGAGTGAGCTCCCCCGGGTGAGTTTTCCCTATTTCTTTAACGCAGGGAAAAGGAGTTGGTGCGAAGGTGGCCCTCTCTCAAGCGTGCTCCCCAGAGCCTGGCGGGGGCCGGGTGGGGAGGCTGAGTAGGGAGGGCCGCTTCTCCTCCTCCAGCCCCCCTCCCCGCCCGCCCCCCCCTCCCCGCCCCGTTCCCGAGCAGCAGGCTGCGCGGGTGCAGCGAGGCAGGGCTCTGCGGGGCGGCGGGCACCTGCCGGGAACGCCTCTGGCGGGCGTGCGAGGTGGCCGGACTTACTCGGGTAGCGGTAGTAGAATTCGTTCTCCAGGTCGCTGGTGGAGTTCTGTTGCATCTTACTGTCGATCCAGTGAGGGTCAGCATCGGAGTCGTAGCGCACAAACACGCCAAAGAGGACCACCAGGGCCACCTGCAGGAGCAAGCAGGTGACCGGCAGCCGCCAGCGGAGATTGGTGTTCCAGACCATGCTGCGGGGGGCGCCTGGCGGGGAGGGCAGCGGGCAGTTCCGACTGACGCTCGCAGGCAGGAGAGGCTTATAAGACCCGGGCAGGGGCGGGGCGGCCGCGTCGGGTGGCGGAACAGCTGACCCGGGTGCCGCCCGTGCGCTCGTCCAACCGGCGAGGGGACCTGCGGGCTCGGGGCTCGCCTCCACCCGGGAGCCCCCCTCCCCCCGAAGCTCCCCCGTCGGGGGCCCAGCAGCGGGAGCAGGGGCCGAGCGGGCAGGTGGGCGGGGATCGAGGCGCCCCAACCTCTGCGGATCCCCTCGGTACCCGGGCCGCAGGTCTGTCCCCTTTTGTTCCGGACCAGAGACAGAAAAAGCCGGGTTGTCTGCCTCCTGCCGAGAGAGAGGAACAGAGAGGAATTCCTAGACGGCGCTCTTCATCATCAACAGCACCAACAGCATCACCATCCCTTTCTTTTTCTGATCAAAAAATTCATATAGGCTACGTGAAAAACCAGGAAAGGCTAAGACCTGCTTGGAGAAGCTTGGAGAGGGGTGACCGCTCATACAACTCGAATCCTGGAAGAGAGAGAGGATGTTAGGGCAAAAACTGGTGAAATCACACAAAGTCTGAAGTTTGGTTAATAGCGTCCTGCCCATGGGGGGTTTCCTGGTTGTGAGAAATGTACAGGGCTTATGTGAGATGTTAGCAGGGGACACTGGGTGCCGGGTAAAGGGGAACTCTGTACTATCTTTGCAACTTTTCTGTAAATCTAAAATTATTCCTGAAAATAGGGTATTAAGAAAAATACACACACACACACACACACACACGATTATCAAAACAATTGAGATTTTCACAGTTCATTGAGCTTAATCAGGAATTATCTGTTGGTCAATATGTGTGATCTTGACATGAGGAGGCCATAGAATTTAAGTTAAATCTATGCTTAAGTCTATATTTTGTCAAAATAAATTTGATTCTCTAATTTTTCTTTAAAAAAGTATATTGTAGAGATTTTGGAAAATACAGAAAGCCCTAAGAGGAAACAAGAAACCCACCTGTAATTCCTCCACCTAGAGGCAACACTAACATGAGAAAGAGAAAGAGGGAAAGAGAGATTCATGCCATAATACTGATTTATAGCTGCTTTATCTACTTAATATTTTGTAAACATCATCCCATATTCTTGTTCTTCTACACCATTTTTAATGGCCTTATCTAGCCAATCCCCTAGTGTTAGGCAATGGGGTTGCTTTGGGTTTGTTTGGTGTAATAAATAACACTGTCATGTACATCCAGGTATATAGGTCTTTGTATGGGTTTCGATGAGTTCCCAGAGGCTGAATTGCTTTGATACAGGTTGCTAAAAAGTCCCCCAAACAAAGAGTGTGCCTTATGAGCCGTGTGGCACCCATGCACCCTTGCCAATGCTGGATTATAGAAAACCATTGCCAGTTTGAATCCCAGATTTGTAAAAGGCACGAATGCCATGCAGAACACCTGAGGCTGAGCTCCTGATCAGGGTGCTGGGAACTTAAATGTGGCTGCACTGTACCCGCGTGGGCACCATTCCCTTAGCAGGAGAAGCAGACAGCTTCAAGACACAGCCAGACACGCAGAAGCGATACCAGCAAGAGGGGCCGTTTATTACGTGCTTGCTGTGGCCAAACCTTTTAGACATGTTCTAATTCTCAATGGAACCCTTGCAAGGTGGGTGATGGAGCTCCATCCTACAGATGAAACTCAGTTGAGATTCAAACTCAGGGCTGTCTTATCTCACTACACCGTGCTGCTTGCCCCCTCTGGGCAGGGCAGAAGGAAGGTTTGGTTGCAGGTACGTGTACCCGCTGTTGCAGAGAGAGACACCTGAGTGCTGCACAGCCAAGGGAGAGTGGAGGGCAGGAGGCAGGGGCTGGGATTAAAGGTTGGAGATGAAGTTGGTGGGAGCACAAAGGCCTCTGGAGTCATCTATTCCCCAGGGGGCCGTGAGCCCCTTTAAGAGAGGAATGTGTCTTATGTCTAACTCTCTCCCCTGCCCACAGCACAGCGTGCATACAGAGCAAGAAGGATGAAGGAAGTGGAGAATAATATTCTTTGAGCCCCTAACCGTGTTCTAGGCGCTGTTCTAGGTGCTGGGAGGTAAATCCCTGTCCCCATGGAAATTGTTGGGGGGGGTGACAAAAGCAAGCACAATAGAGAAGTATATGGTATGTGCAAGGGTGACAAGTGCCATGCGGGAAAAGGACGTGGAAAGTGGATGAGAGGGGGCTGGGAGTGGGAAGGCCACACTGGGGGAGGGGGGCTGGGGGCGTGGAGAGAGGGAGGGAGGGAGAAAGGGAGGCAGGAAGATAGAGAAAGAAGGAGAAGATTTGGGGCACCTGGGTGGCTCAGTTAGTTAAGCGACTGCCTTCAGCTCAGGTCATGATCCTGGGGTCCTGGGACCGAGTCCCACATCGGGCTCCCTGCTCAGTGAGGAGCCTGCTTCTCCCTCTGCCTCTGCCCCTCCCCCTCCCCATGCTCCGTCTCTCTCAAATAAAATAAATAAAATCTTAAAAAAAAAAAAAGAAAGAAAGAGAAGATTCTTCTGCTGGCTCTAGTCCCACCTCGCCCCCGACCTGGGGGCATGGCCCCCTCAGCAGCACTTTGATGAATGTCCCAGAGCAGCTGTTCCCTTCATTGGCTGCCCTTGGTCTTTGTGGTGGACTGAGCTTCCAGTGCCCCCCAGCCCCTAATGGCCAGTAGTTGTATTTCTGGTGCCTCTGGGGGAAGAAATGGCCACTGCTCCCAGAAACCTAGAAAAAATGTCTCCTCCCAGAATATTTTCTCTGCAGCTACCAAAGTAAGGCCAGGCCAGCAGGCTGTCCCACTTCTGAAGAGGCTGGCCCTCTGCAGAGTGTCTATCCCCCCATCATGATGTGGGGCTGGAGCTGGGCAGGAAGATGGGAGCTCTCTCCCCTGGATCCTTTGTCCACTTTCTCCTGCCCCCAGTCTCCACTTCATGCATTCATCCATTCATCTTTCTTCCCAGCACTGGCCTCACGTGATCTGCTCGTTTATCTGTCTGTGGTCTGTCTCCTTATACCAAAATGTTAGCCCCCCCGGGCAAGGGCCCCTAGAAGAGAGCCTAACTCAAGACAGTTGCTCATTAATGGCTTTTTGAGTGAATGAGTGAACTCTTCCAATTTATTCAGTAATCAAAGTGTGTCCAGAGCACCTACCGCATGCACTGCTCAGTGTTCGGCCCAAATAGCCTCACAAAGCTGCCCCCCCCCCCCATAGCTTGTGCTATACAGAAGGAGGCACAAGGGACTTGCCCTGGTGGCAGAATCAAGGACTCTCCCACATAGTTGGGGAGAGCTTGGTGAGCGCTGCGGTGGTCAGGGTGGGCTTTGTGGAGAGCTGATCTAGGATTTGCAGAGCAGGTAGGAAGGAGAACTTTCCTTCTCTGTTCTCTGGCTTTTCTTATCTCACCTGCCCCCCCCCCCGCACCAGATGATTCCAGGCCACCTCCCCATCTTGACTTGACTTGACTGGTACTTCCTCTGTCCACCAGCAGGCTGGAATTCTGGGCTTGTCCTCTGAGACCAGGGTTCAGAAACTGGCTGCTCAGGTCTATCGGGCCAGGCAGGGGTTTGCCAGAGGAGTGAGCCACTTCCTCCTAAAATGTGGGTGACTCAACAAGTGGGAATGATAGGTGGGGATAATGAGTTGGGATGGATCCCTCCACAGCTGGAGAGGTGGGGTGTGGCGGTGACAGGGGCTGGCAAGGCCAGAGGTGGGGGCAGCGGTGGCCGTGTGGTTTGGGCCAAGGATGATTCAGGTTGTCCTGCTTTTGCAGCAGGGTCTCCCTGCTCCAGGCTTGGTGGTCGTGCAGGGGGAGCTGTGCAGGGCCAGTCACTGCCATTACATTTCCCTGTGCCCATCCCTCAGGGCAGATCACCATCAGCACCCTTAGCATCTTTGGCCTGGGACCCACAAGCAGCCTGAGGTTGTGGCAAGGGCACTAGACCAGGACTCACAAGTTCCTGAGGTTGGTCTCAATGCCACCCAGTTGCCGGTCTGCACAACCTCTCTGGGCCTTATTTCCTCCATCTGTGAATGGGTACGTGCCCTGCTCGCCACTCCAGTCTGCTGAGATGCTCAAAGGAGGACAGCAGCCTGATGCTTAGCGCCTTGGCCCAGAGGTTCAAAGGCGCCGGGGCTTGAGTGCTAGTGTGGCCACTTCCTAGCTGGGTGAACTTGGGCAAGCCGCTTAATCGCTTTGTGACTCCATCCTCCCATCCACACCATGGCGCAACAGTAGAATCCACCTCCCAGGATGGTTAGGAGGGCTGGATGGCAATTGCTGGAGGAAACGGTAGCTCTCATTTGCAACTGGAAATGAATGGGAAAGTCCCTTGTAAATTGGGGAGTCATAAATATAACTAGGGGTGGCCTCTATGATGCTGGATAATGGCATTCTCCTCTGGTGCTCTTTGAAAAGTCTGCAGAAGGTGGGGCGCCTGGGTGGCTCAGTCATTAAGCGTCTGCGTTTGGCTCAGGTCATGATCCGCATGGGGGCTCCCTGCTCTGCAGGAAGCCTGAGTCTCCCTCTCCCACTCCCCCTGCTTGTGTTCCCTCTCTGGCTGTGTCTCTCTCTGTCAAATAAATAAAAAATAAAATCTTAAAAAAAAAAAAAGTCTGCAGAAGGTAAGGCCCTGGAGACGGAGCCCCACGCCCTCCCCAGAATCGCAGGGCTGGGAGCAGGGTTTGGGGCTCTGGGAAGCAGTTCTGGCCACGCACCGTCCCCTTCATTCCCTTAGAGCACTAAGCCACTTCCCCACACCCATGGGGAGCTCTCCAGTGTGGCCAGCCTGTGGGTCAGGGAGAGGATGTGGGCCTCTCCGCAAAGTTCCCTCCTCTGTGACAACTTGTGGGATCAAAAATAAGGTGACCGATGGTGGGAAAATGGCCATCTTGCTTATTTGCCTGGTGGGCCGCTCTGAGACGGACTCAACATCCCGTCCATGCTATTCCTGCCAAAAACACTTGCCCTGAATTCAGTCCAGAAGCAGCGGACAAACCCAAACTGAGGAAGTCTGCAAGATAACTGGCCTGG